AAAATGTAGCTGCGGCCTAGGTTTTGGGCGGGGGGCGTGCACCAGGGGGTCCAACAATAATAATTCTTTAGAAGTAATAGTGTTCAACAGCAGCAACAACAACAACAACAACAGCAGCAGCAACAACAACAACAACAACAACAATTACACCAACACCAACAACAACAACCACCACCACAACAACAACAACGACAACAGCAACAGCAACAGCAACAGCAGCAGCAGCAGCAACAACAGCAACAACAGCAACAGCAACAACAACAACAATAACAAAAACGCAGCCCAGGAACACATCTGTCTGCCCCACCACTCAAAAACGGCCGCAGCCCAGGAACACGTCTGTCTGCCCCATTGTTCGAGGCGGATCGATCCGTGAGGGTCGCAGGGCCCGAAACCGGGCGAAAGCACCCGTTGTGAGAGACAAATACAGCACTAGGATCTCAGGGGGGCGCGCCGCTGTTTGAGGCTTCCTAGATGGGATCCGAGTAGACGTGGTCGGAGGATCGCGCCGCATCGCCGATGCATCGGCGACGTATCGGCGCTGCACCAGCAACGTCGGTGATGCACCGGCGACGTCGGCGTGGAGAAGCTCAGGCTCCACATCAAGCCGCATCGCCGATGCATCGGCGATGGGGAGCGATCCTCCGACCCCATCTACTCCGACCACATCAATCGGGTGTTGCTAGAAGTGCCCCTGGTCCAAGCGCGCCCCCAGCTTTTCGCACTATTTTGGAGCCCCTGGGGCCCCCTGGGCCTCGTGAGGGGTGCCCTGGAGGCCGTCTGGGCCACCCCGAGAATCCTGGGGGTAACTTGGGCCAGGGGTACTTCTAGCAACACCCGAATCGATGAGGCCTCGAGCTTTCTCTTCTCCTGATACTCACGGTCGGCCCGGAACTCCACGCAGCCGCCGGGCGCCAGCGCGAACAGCCGCTCGCCTCGCCCGTCGGCGCTGGCGCCGGCAGGCGCGCGCGGCGGCGCGGACGCGTCATGGTTGAGCATGTCGAGCACGGGGACCAGCAGCACGTGCCGCCCGCACCCGCCTTCCCAGAGATCCGACGCCGCGAAAAAATGTGAGCATTTCTTTTGTTTGCTACTTTCGGCCTCTGTCGGAGGTTGCTAGAGGCGCCCCTGAGCCCAAGAGCCCCCAGCTCTTCGCTCCATTCTGGGACCCCTGGGGCCCTCTGGGCCTCGTGAGGGGTCCTCTGGAGGCCGTGGGGGGCCTCCTTGGAAATCCTGGGGGCACCTTGGGCCAGGGGCACTTCTAGCAACACCCGACTCTGGGCTTCCCTCCCCCTCCCCCTCCTCCTCCTCCTCCTCCTCCTCCTCCTCCTCCTCCTCCTCCTCCTCCTCCTCCTCCTCCTCCGCCCTCCGGGACCGTCACAGAATGGCTCAGGACCGCACGCCGGTCGGAAGTCGTCCAGGCCTCGGGGGGTGCACGCATCCGAAAACAAATCCTTGGAGCGCCGGCTGTCCGCTTTCGGGTGCGCCGAAGGCGGGGGGGGGCCAGGACCTTGAGATCCGGGCGACGACTCCTCGGTGGCTCGCGGAGTGTGTGTGCTCCGGGCTCCAGGCCCCGCGGGACCATGCCCGAGCGATCGGGCCCGAAAAAACCTCGTGGATTCGGGGAACGAGCCCTGGTATGAACACAAACCTTCGGAGGTCCGCGCGGAGCTCTCGGATCGGCGCTGGGACCCCCTTCCTCGGCGCGCGGAGCGCGCCGTGGGCGGCGCCGGAGGCGCCGCCAGGGGGCTCCGGTGCCGATCGACGAGATGCCGCAGGCACATGCGGGTGGTGTCTACGGCTCCTGTCATGGTCTTTCGCGATGGTAGGTCTTTTTCCGCGGCGTCGGACCGCAGGGTTCCCCCAGCGGGGGCCAGGAGGAAAAAAATCAGCGCATCATGGCCAGATTCATGTGCCGCCAGCACCAGCCTTCGGGTGCGAGGAAGGCCCAAACTCCCTCGCGTCGTGCACAAATCACAACGGGAGGTCTTCGACAACGTGCGGCCTCGGGCCTCAGGATCGTCCGGAAACGACTCGGGATGAAAAGCCGTTCCCCCGGAAGGGATCCAAAACCGTTCCCCAGGGCGGGGTCCAGACCTCTGGGGGCTTGCCTTGTTCCCCCCCCCAAAAAAACACTACGTCTCGGGGGCCTGGGAGTGAGCAACAAGAGGGGGGCTAGCGGCTAGCGCATCATGGCCCGAGGCATGTGCGCGGACGAGGGGGCGGGGGGCCAAGGGATGCACCGAGAGAAGACGGGCCGCGGCATGAAATCTGGGAGTTTCCTCACCCGCCTTCTCCTCCGCCTCCTCCTCCTCCTGCCCCTCCTCCTCCTCCTCCTCCTCCTCCTCCTTCCTCCTCCTCTTCCTCCTCCAGAGGGACCGATACCGCTACTCCCCGGACCTCTCCCAGTGTGCGTTCGGACCAGGACTTCGAGGCGAATCCAGCGGTGGCAACGAGGGCCTCCCAGGAGGCCCAAAAAGGGGAAACTGGGCGAAGGGTAGAGGTACCCATATCGGTCGGAAGAACTCGATCGAAACATGAAGTAGGAAGGCGTTGGAAGTAGATTGGGTGTCCGCCCGCCCCCTAAAGGGGACAGGAAAAGGCGAAGCCACTCGATCATTGAAGTAGGAAGGCGCGTGAAGTAGATTGGAATCTGGGTCTCCAGAAATACCTACTTTCAACGACCGCTGGGCATGGGTACCTTCTCCTCCTCTGAGGGATGTCACTGCCCGACGCCATGCCATCCGCACCCCTTTGGCCCGCCCCCAAGCACCCGGGCCGGCTGCCGCGTCGCCCGCCGGAAACTCCACCGCCCGGCTGCAGACCACCGCCCACGCCCACAGGAAGAGCTCCAGGCAGAACGCGCGGGGGTCGAAGAAGCCAGGGAGCCTCGAGAAGACGCGCCTCCACAGCAGCCTCCACTCCCTGAGCGCCCTGCGCCGCAGCACCTCCACGGCCTCCGCAGCCTCCGTGCCCTTCAGCAGCGACGCGATCTGGCTCGGCGGCCACCGCACGGGTACGTCTGGGCGGCGAAAAGAAATGAGGTTGAACCTGCTACAGCATATGACTACCTACCAGACCACCCCGACCCAACCCCTAGACCCGAATTTCGGGTTGGGGGGGGGATAAGGGTTCCACACGTGTTGTTTCGATGCTTCCCGACCCCCCCACTGGAAATCGAGGGTAAATCTGAGCCTTCGGGTTGGGTAAGGGTGGTTTCATGGGTGGTGAGCATAGCGACCTTCGGCCGCGGCTTACTCGGGCCACCAGCGTGGCGCGCTACACTGGAGACGAGGACGCTTGCGCGCGACCTTACGCGGGAAGCCTCTGCGCGAACGTCGGCGCAGTCGATCCCTCCGTCCGTCGCTCGCCTGTTGGCATGGAAGCCAAGGATCCTGGACCCCTGGGCCTTCCCCGAGACCCAGGCGTCGCAGCTGCTGCACACTTGACGTGTTCGCCCAACCACGGGCCCCCAGGCTTCGCGGATCCATTCGGCTCGCCGCCACAGGATGGGGCCCAGCACTCCAGACGTGGCTCCCGACGACGTGACCGTGCTGGCGACGTCGGATCTCCGAGCTACCCCTGGATCAGCTTTCATCCCGGCTCATTTGCCTCGAAAAGTCCTGGGTCGCAGGGTGGCCGCCACGATCCCAAAAACAGCGAACAACCGCAGGACCCCTTCCCAGACATCGTACGATGTGATTGCCTCTGCTCGCGCTCCCCAAGAGCTCCCGACCCCTTCCCCGCGGGCAGGTTCTCGTCCTGGACCTTTCTGTGCTGGGCCTGGCGCCCGAAGGCGGCAACGGGAGGCCGAAATTGCAGACAAGCGCTAACGCCGCGGTTTAGAACGGCAGAAAAAGACTGGAGCCCTGGACCCCGTCTCCCTGCGGCACTCTCAAACCAGATTTGTCAGCACCCCAAGGGCCTGGTGCCAAAAGAATCGCGACGCCTGGCTCGCAAGGGAGTTCCCTCCCCCATAGAAGCAGCAAAAGTGCACAGACATTGACTGTAGGCCCGTGCGAATTTCACGGATCGGCGCTGCGCCCATCACAAATCCGAGAAGTCCGCGCGGACCTCCGAAAATCAACGTTTATGAAATTCTAGACGCTTCGCGTATCCCCACCAGCCCGTCCAGAAACGACGCCCAGGCGAGTAGAGGGTCGTCCTGAGGGGCTTCTCGGCGTCTTGGGTGCCTCGGGGGGGCCTCTTTGGGCCGTTTGGGATCCTCTGGGCCTCTTGGGGCCATCTTGGGGCCTCTTGGTGCCTCCTGGGCGCTTCTTGGGGCCATCTTGGAGAAAATCGATCAAAGAAGAGGGGAGCTTCAATTAGTGCTGCCCCCTCTGGGGGCCAAAATGGGGCCAAAACCTGGGTAAAATCAGCGAGGCCGTTTTGGACGCTCTGACCGCTCCCCGCCTGCAGACCCGATACTGCGTGAGGGGTCTGTATGCGATGATAACCGCGAGGTTGTTATTGTCAGCAATGACGTAAAAGTATCTGCGAATATATCAGCAATGATAGGCGATTGATGTTGCTTAGCGGCACCTGCGAGGTGTCTACCGATACGCCCAAGCTCAAGGGCCCTTAAAGGATTGAGCCCAAATAGTTACGAAAGAGCATATGCTTGCTGGCATGCTATGCTACACTGCTTACATATCAGCATTGACACTATTAAATTCACACTCGTGCAAAATTCTTCTGATCTGTGCATCTGCCGATATAGCGCATTTAGACGTGGTGATGGCACGTCAACGAGCTAAAATGAAACCAGGCGCACTGCGCGCTTGAAAAGTGAGCCGGCACTGGTCAGGTGTGCCTCGTGCTCTCTGGCCTGGTCCGTCGGCTCTTGATGCTGAAAAGCGAGACGTGTGTCTCGCAGCACTGCCCTGATGGCACTGCCGTCCGATCGCTTGGTGAACTGATCACCGAGCTGCCGGTCAGTCGGAACCCAAAAGAGGGCTAGTTGGCTGCGCTGATCGTGAGCGACAAACTCGTTGCTAACTTCCTCTTCTAGTGACTCCTTGAGGCCCACTAGGTCGAGCAAAAGGCGCCGCTCTGACGGGAGCTTGGAATGGCCCTCTTTATGCATCGTATCGCACAAGCTGGCGCAATCTGTGACCCGAGCGAGCGGCAACAGACTCGGCGGGATGTCCTCTGGATGGGCATCCGGAATCTCTAGCGAAGCGAAAACACAGCGTGTAATCTGAGCACAGCCTAGAGCGTCTACTGCCGACATCGTTTCGGCTGCCAACGTAGATCTGCAAACTCTCTTGATGGTGCCCGATCTCCAATCAACGATTCCTGCTCGAGCTCGATCTCCGCGTAGTAGCTTGGCTTCTGCGAGAAAACTCACGTAGCCAGCCTGCGAGCGAATCTTGATCTTCTTGTCCTTACTGGTTGCCCCCACGGTCTTGGCGAGCAACTTGGAGATGGCGCCCTCAGCTGGCTCGTCAGCGTTGGCCCAACTGGCGTCGTGGTACGTCACCAGGCACAGAGGTCCACGTAACTTAGGGAACTCCAAACCCGCGTCCGCGTGCTTCCGCGCCAGCTTGATGAGCCTGTTCGTCTCGAACAAGTCCTGGATGGTGGGCTTGTTCTGGGTCCGCTGCCCCATGGACACTCCAGCTGCCAGGTCGGGGCGAGTCTGCGATGAAAGCCACCCGAGCGCTCCGAGTGCGGAGCGGTTGTCCGAGAACTCGGCTGGCGTCGCATCTGACGACAGGTCCGTCTTGCGCTCCTTGCTGAGCGGAATCTCCTCGATGGTGTTCGCGTACTCGATCTGTCGTAGATATAGTACTTCTTCTTGATCTCGCCAGGCCTGCTTGCCGCAAAAGGTAAAAGGCAAGCCTCGCCAGTCGCCCCAGGGCAAAAGCTTGTGAAGCCTGTCGTAGAAGCCCGGGTACTTGCGCGAGATCCCCAGCAGCAAGTCGTCCACGTGAGCGACCACCACCGCACAGAGCTCCCCGTGCTGGTCGTAGCCGTAGTACAGCGCTGGGTCTAGCGAGTGCTGGTGTAGGCGAAACACGTAGTTGTCGCTCAGCTTCTCCTCCACCGCCAGCAATGTCCTCTTGAGCTTCGCCCACAATTCTCGGTGCCGTGGCCAGCCCGAAAACTCCCTTGAGGATCTTGATCAGCTGCTTCGGGTGAAGCCCAGGCAGACCTTCGCGAGGCTGGGCCATGTACAGCTGCTGGTCGGGCTGCTCGTCGCCTTGCATGAAAGCCGCCTCCACGTCCGCCGCGTAGATCTCCAGGTCGAACCTCTGGCAAATTGTGAAGAACAGCATGGTCGAGTTGCGGGTGACCGTGGGCGCGTCCGTCCGCAGGTCGCCCTGAGCGAGGCGCGGGCCCATGTGACCCCCGACGCAGAGTCGGGCATCTGCCTTGACCGGCAGCGGATGCTTGTCGGTCCGCAGCGGGGCGTTCTTGTCCCGGTACACGAACCGGCTGGGCAGGATGAGGCTGGGCTTGATCATGCCCCTGATCGCCTCGGACTCCTCGATGGAAAGTACCTGACAAGAGCCATACTTCTGCCACTCGCTCCACTGCTTGGCGGCCGCCTCCCTGAAGAGCTCCCGATCAGAGTCCTTGGTGGCCCTCCAGTGGATCTCCTTGTCGGCCTGCTTGCGCTTGATCCTCTCGGTCACGATGGAGGTTTGCAACACTTGTCTTGGAGCCGACCTCGAACGTTGGCGGGCTCCTCCTGCTTCGGGTCCGGCCGCTGCCTCCTGATCGGGCGCCGCCGCGCGGTCCCGCGAAGTTGCCCTTGCGGGCAGGGCGCCAGAGCCTGCAAGCCACCTCTCGGTCTGGAGTCGCTTGAAGGCCGGGCCGAAGTCGCCGCTGTCCCCTCCGTCGAAGGTAGCTCGACGTCGTCGGAACTCGTCAGGGCCGTAGGTTCGCTCTTCTCCAGCTTGTTGCGGCACGTCGGCGGGCAGCACCTGGATCTGCTCCTGCTTGGGCGGATCCTCGGAGACGTTCAGCCTGAGGTCGCCGTCGTCCGGGTTGTCGATGAATTCCCGCCACGCCTGCTCCATCTCGTCTGGCTTGACCTCGGGCTCGCCAGGCGCCGGGCGGATGTCCTCCACCTGAGCCTCTTCCCGTTCGAGCGAGTCGCGAGCCCGGTTGAGCTCGGCCGCGGCCTGACCGATCTCGCCCCTGCCGTTCGGGAACCAGACGTCGTCCGGAGCGAGTGCCTTGATGTGCTCCGGGGCCACCAGCATGGCGTGCCCTCCTAGCGAGACCCAGGTGTTCTCGCCTTGGTGGCCGATGACTACGCACGGCCCTCGCCAGATGCCCTTCTTGGCGTTGCGGTTGTGCTGCTCCCGCTGCTCCTTCTTCTTGACCTGGCGAAAGACGTAGCACATCTCGCCCACTGACAAGGGCGTCGCCACCGTGCGCGCGCGAGCCAGCATAGCTCGCCGGAGCTGGTCGTCGTTCTGCATCCTCATGAACGACTCGCGCGCCGCCGTCCGAATGGCATATCGGCGGCGAATATTCTCGCCGTTGGCCGCCAGGCTGTGGGCGCTGTAGTTGGCCGTGTCGTCGACTACGTCTCCAGGCATCTTGGGGTCGCGTCCCAGCACCCACTGCGCGGGGCTGAAGCCTGCTCGCCTTCTCAGCGAGTTCTTCGCGCCCGAGACCATGATGGCCAGCGTCCGCATCTCGTCCTCGCCCCTGATCGACGAGTGCTCGATCGTCCTCGCCGCGAGCTCCTTCCACCAAGCTCCCTGGCGTTCCACGCGACCGAGCTGCCGATGTGCCTGACCAGCGATGGGCAGCTGCACCGTGTTGAATGACTGGAACAGCTCGCTGAGGGCGCCGCCGAACCCCTTCTCCATGTCGAAGTGAACTCGGTCGGGTACTCCCGCCCAGGAGGCCCAGCACCTCTCGAACGCGGCAGCGAACTCCTGGCTGGTGTGGCAATCGATCAGCGTCGCGACATGGAAGGTGGTGGCCAGGTCGACGATGCTGAAGTACCAGTAGCTCTTGCCGTCGACGTCCTTGAGCTCGAAGCAGTCGAAGCCGACGTCGTCTCCAAAATCTTGCACGAAGTGGAGGTGCGCTGGTCTCCTCGCGCTCGGGCGCTGCTGCGAGCGGCACACCCCGCAGATCAGCCCCTTGACGGCCTGGACGGTGGCCGACTTAGCGCCTTTGAGTCGCAAACTGCGGCCCAAATCTTCATTAGTCGGATGGCCCAAGTTGACATGGAGTCTCTTGAGCATGGCCAGCTCGGCTGGCATGCAGCAGGCCGCTGCTTTCTTTGTGAAAGTAATCGCGCCGACCCCGATCCTGCCGTCCACAGTATCTTCGGCCCGCACGTCGTGAGTGTCGGCGAAGTCGTCTCCGCCGCCCATGGGGTCTGGGCCCCCATCAGGCTCGCCCGTCTCTCCCAGGGGCGCGGTGTCGTTCACGTAGGCGGTGGCCTGCTCCCTGGGCGCTGTCACGATGAAGGGCGACGAGTGCGACTGGCAGTCCACCTGGTAGGCGCGACGCCCTCCTTGCTGGCGAATCACCTGCACCACAATGCGCACCACCGCTCTGCAGAACTTAGCAGGATAAACGCCAGACTTGCGCACCGCCACGTTGTCCCCAAAGGTCTGGTCGTGGTGCTTGTGGCTGCAGGTGCGCTTCAGCTGCTCGAACTCCCTGTGGGTAACGAGCAGCTTCGCGGGGTGCTTGATGAGCCCCCCCGTCTTGCAGTGTCGAGCTCCGTACTCGCACATGTCGCACCTCACCTGGTACACGCGCTCGTCTGCCAGTAGCTCCGAAATCGCGCGTTGTGTCCAGAGCCGGCTGGTGGCCGGGTTCTCGATCATGGCCATGTCGCCAGAGTCGAGCTGGTACTTGAAGGGGTCGCGGGCCAATAAAAGGAACGGCCGCTCCGTCCTCCAGATCCGTCGGAGCGCCTGCCTGGCCTGCGGCGTCCGAAAGCTGAGGTGCGCGATGTTCGCGTAGTGGGTGCAGGGTAGCTCGATTGACACGAACTTCGGCCTTGAGGCGTAGTACAGGTCGTACGTCGCGTCGAGGTCCTTCTGCTTGCGTAAGTCCCATCCGTACTTGCGGTCGATCACCTCTGTGGCCGTCTTCTGGCGCTTCCACGCCGCCTCGGCGATGCCGCCTTCGCCTCCGAACATCTGCATGACGTCCACGCGGTGGCTGCAAACGCTGTAGGCCTCCTTGACGTCTTGGACGTGGTCGACCACGTCTCACGCAGCACTGGTAGCATGCTGCACCACGGGATTGAGAGGTCTAGCCAGCCAGTCCGCGGTGAGCACCGCCTGAAAGGCGAAGGCGCTCAGCAAGCCCGTGACCTGGTAGAGGAGGCCGACGCGCTTGCCCTTCTTGATGCCTGGCCGCCGCCTCGGGGCTGGCGACCCGTCCTGGCGGCCACCGCAGCCTAGTCTCTGCTCTGCTGAGGTTCCCGGAAGCCGCTCGGGCGATCTCCTTGTCGGTTTCGCCCGCCTTCTCGATGCCCATGTCGCCGGTGTCCATCTCGTGCGGCTCCGGAGGTCGCTGGCGCCGATGCCCGGCCAAGCTCCCCTGGCGTCCTGAGGCCCTCGCGGTCGTCGCCGCTGGCGCCACCCATTCGTCGTCCAGCACCACCTCCTCGGCCATCGCTGCCTCCAAGGTGGTCTTGGCCTTCTCCGGGGGGAGGGGCTGCACTCCGCGCGCCTTGACCCACCTGGCAAACCGCGCCAAGAGGGGGCTTGCCCGATTGTTGTTGAGCTCCAGGACCGCCCACTGCGCGTAGCCCAGGTCGTTCTTGAGCACCCAGCGGTAGTCCGCCGTGGGGTACTTGCCGAAGCGCATCTTGTCGGCCCCCGTGATCTGTGAGCTCGGATGAGCCACCGTCGCCGCGGCACTGCTGACCGCGTCCTCGACCTTCCAGCCCTTGAGGCGCTGCCTGAGCTCCGGCACGGGCGTGCGCCGGTCGAACTCGATCTGGCGGTCCCGACACAGCTGCTGGAGCTCCTCCTTGTTCTTCTTGCCGAGCCCCGGGGCGTAGTCGCCCTGCGGCGCGCTCTCGCGGCCCTCGGCCCTCAGCGCACGCAAGATCACCCGGAGCTGGTCGCGCGTGGCGTCGCGCGCATCCAAGTCGTAGCTTGCAACCTCGGCCTGCAGCTCCGGCATCCGCATACTGGATATCGCCGGAAGACGGGCAGTACTCGTCGTCGGCAAGTTCTGGTTGCTGCCCGCCGGGCTCGTCTCCTTGGGAGATGTCGTACATCGCTGGTGCGGCGGGGGCATAGGCGCCGCCCGCTGGTTCGTAGAAAGCTGCGGTGGCTGGATCTGCCACGGCACGCGTCGTACTCGCTGGTGGAGCCACAGTTGAACTCGAGCTGGATGGCTGCGGTGATGATGTAGTTTGATGACTGCGTGCTGAAGGCTGATCTCGTGGCTCGCCACGGCTTGCTTGCTGCTGAAATCGAACATGCCGTGACGGAATATCGCTGCGAGGTTTAACTCCTCGTTCGTCATGATCGTGGTTTGTCTGCATAATCTGTGCTGTGCTGACTGACCTAGTACACACTCCCCAGGCCTCGTCTTCCGATCCCGCTGACGATTGACGTGATGGAATGTATGCGCTCATGGCCTGGCGCACCTGCTGCTCGAACAGTTCGGCGCTATCGAGCGCATTGCAGTCAGTATCCGACTGAGACTCGTCGGCCTCCGAGGCAACTCCTGGGCGGCGAGCCTCGGGCACCACCGGCTTGGCGGCGCTGGCCACAGCTGCCTCAGCATGGTAAGAAGCGCAAGGATGAAGACGAATCTCGGCCCTGGTATCCGGGACGTCCAAAACGAGCTTATAGTTCGGCGTGAAGCCTGCGATGTCCAGCGTCGGGTGTCCGGCGCGGCCCAGGCCCATCTGGATGTTGTGCTCGTCGATCGACTTGATGTCCAGCTTGTTGTCTCCAGCGTGGTAGACTGCGTCCAGCTCGCTCTGGGCCTTGCGGCTGAACAGTCCTGGCACGGCGCTGCGCACAATGCTCGCGCGGACGGTGAAGGCCTTGCCGTTCACCGAACAGGGAATCAGCGCTGCTGTGAGGCTGAACACCACCTTCGACGCTCCGAACCGGAACGGCTCCTTCTCGGGGTACTCGATGGGCTGGATGTTGAAGGCGGCCAGCCTCTTCTTGATGTCATTGCACCAGTCGAGGCCGCCGACGCACCGCGCACAGGCCGCGTCGAAGGTCAGCTTGCCCCCCGACTCCTTCAGCAGGTCCTCGACGCTGAGATAGATAAGCGCCGAGCTCGTCGCGGCCATCAGGCACTGGTGGTCCTTGTTATGAAGAAGAACCCCGCCGCCGTAACTTCTTCGGGTAGCTCGGCGGCCTGGCGCATCTGCGCCCAGTCAATGCTGTGCAGCGCGCCGTACTTCCTGTTGCGAGCCGCGGCCCGCTGGCCCTGCTGGTAGACCGCCGCGACCGTCATCTCCGCCACGTGAAGCTCCTGCACATCGCTGGTCTCGCGCGTGGCGATGTTCGTCCTGTTGCTTCCCTTCTTCGGGATGTCGGCCTTGGCATTAGGGTCATTCTTCTTCGAGCACTGCGGGTCACCGCGCCAATGGCCCTTCTGGCCGCATGCGCCGCAGTGTGTCCTTGCCTTCATCTTGGCGATCTTGGGATCGTCCTTCTTCGGCGGGTTGCCGCCGTCGCGCTTGGCGAAGTAGCCGCGCGCCTGCTTCGCCCCCTTCAGCGTGTCCTTGGCGCGCACCATCTTCTTGGTGAAGAAGACTACCTGCTCCTCCGCCTCGTCGATCGCGTCCTGCAGCTCGTCGGGCAGCTCGTCCTCGTAGTTGTCGGAGCTGTCCGAGGACGCGCCGTCGAACTCGGCCCTACGATCCTCCTCGTAGGTCCCCGTAGCGCACGCCCGCTTGTGGCCCTTGTTCTTGTGACCTCCGTAGCCTCCTTTGTCGTGGCTGTCCTTGTTGCCGTCCACGACCGATACCTTGGGCAAGTTGATCATCAACTGCTCCTGGATCCTGGCGGGGTTGAACTGGTTGCCCACACCGTTGAGCACGCTCGCCGAGCGCTCTGGGGGCAGGCGGGCCCCCTTGATGTACAGGTCGGCTAAGACCTCGTCGGGCACCTGGATGCCCTTGGCCTTCAGCTTGGTGGCGATCCCATTGAAGCGGTTGTTGTAGTCGCGGATATCCTCGTACTTGTGCCGGGCGCAGGCCGGGCGCACGAAGGTCTCCAGCAGCGCTGGGGTCTCGAGCACTTCGATCTCGGGAAAGCGCTTCCCGAGGTACTCCAGGAAAACCTCCACCGAATTGTCGCCCTTGATGGCGTCCAGGTCGAGCTCCTCGCACGCCTCCTCGGCCTTGCCCTTGAGGCTGGCCAGCAAGGTCGCTCCCTGCTTGGGCGGATTGACCTCGGTGCCGATCTGCCAGGTGGCGACCTCTCGGCGGTGCTCCTTCATGGTCTTGCTCGTGCCATCGAAGACGGGTGCGGGGATATTGCCCCCGTTGCTCTTGTCCTCGCCGCTGGCTGCAGCGGCTCCTCCTGTCGCCATGATGGCGACCCCGAATGAGAGGTACAGTCGCAATGACACGAGCCTGTAGTGCTTGCTAAATGACTCTGCAAAGTCGCGCACGTAGCTGCCGCGGTCGAGTTAGCTCCGCTACCAATGCAGACCCGATACTGCGTGAGGGGTCTGAATGCGATGCTAACCGCGAGGTTGTTATTGTCAGCAATGACGTAAAAGTATCTGCGAAGATATCAGCAATGATAGGCGATTTATGTTGCTTAGCGGCACCTGCGAGGCGTCTACCGATACGCCCAAGCTCAAAGGCCCTTAAAGGATTGAGCCCACATAGTTACGAAAGAGCATATGCTTGCTGGCATGCTATGCTGCACTGCTTACAGATCAGCACTGACACTAATTATTTCACACCGCCCCCCCTGTCCAGGTCAGTGGGGAGGGGGTAAGGGGAGGGGCAAACCCCTCCCCGAAGGGGAAGAAGGAGGGGTGGGCGAGGAAACGCTCTAAACCACCGACGCCCAGAGGGCTGGTGGGACTTTGTTTTGCTTCGGCACATTCCTGGACATCCTTCGATATACCCGTTTCAAGCCGCGCCCCCAGAACTGCCGACCCTTTTCCATGTAGGTGCTTTGTTCGCCCAAGATCCATGCCCGATGGCCCCGAGACCCGACAAAGTCCCCAGGGGCCCAAATCGGGAAAAATACCTGGCTGAACAAAGTTTATGTTTATCGACCAATTCTCGGAGCAGTGTGAGCTGGGACAGCGGCAACTCAAGATCGGTTACCTGATCCCCCCTGGGATCCAAACGCAACAACTTTCCGGGCCCCCGAACCCTGAGATCCGACGTCACGAAAAAACTGAAACGTCGCGAAACAAATCACGACCAGAGCCCTACAATGGAGGCCAGTCCACAACCGCAAGAAACCCCAACCCTGAGACCCCAGGACGTCCATTAGTTCTTGGCGTGGGAACGCCACGCCTTCCATGGAAAAACAACGAAACCCAGGGAACCCAGGGCACCCTGGAGGCAAGCAGGGCGTTTCTCGGCATGGGCCCCCACTTTATCGCGGGAGATCTGGGGGCCCCATGCACGCTGCACAAGGGGCACCCCAGGCGGCCGCAGCCGCAGAGGGCCTGAGCGCCGCATCCGGCAATCGGCTCTGCCCCCCCCCCCCCCCCTGCCTGAGGGGAAAGGGAGGAGCGGAGGGGGAGGAGGAGGAAGAGGAGGAGGAGGGGGGGGGGAGGAGGAGGACGAGAAGGAGGAGGAGGAGGAGGAGGAGAGGAGGAGGAGGAGGAGGAGGAGGAGGAGGAGGAGGAGGAGAAGGACTGGACTGGACTGGAACTCATGGCAGCCTGGATTCCACAGCAACAGCAACTCTGACTGCAACATGAAATCGCAAGAAGAGCATGACAACTGCTGCACGGAGGACTTCAGAGAAGAGGCCTGCGAGCCTCCGCCATTACACGATAATATGGGTGGCTGCCGCGCTCCGCACTAGGCGGCACTGGCCCTGGCCAGCAACCCCAGGCGGCACGCGGCCGCACTCAGGGTGCTGGCTTTAAGGCGTGCGGTTCGAGTCTCCCCCCTTCCCGCTCCACGACCCCGCGGCCCACGACCCCCGCCGCCCCGACCGCGACCCCGTCCCCCTCCCACAGCAGCAGGCGTTGGCGGTGGCATCACAATCACTGGAGTGGCTGGGAGTGCTGGGTGACTATATACATCAACCTTATTGCGCATGCTATCTAGAATATCTTCCCTCACTACTCCGCGAGAGACCAGTTCTCGGAAACGATCAGAATTGTGAAAAGCTCTCACGACCCTCTGTTGGCTAGGAGTCTGAAAATATCTCTCTCGAATGGGCCTCTGGGAGCCGCCCCCGCCAGGAGCCGCCCCCCCCCCCCCCCCCCCCCCCCCCCACCACACCTTCAGAGGACGCTCGAACAAGTCCGCTAGACGACGGCCCACCTCCATCTCCCTGTGGAACGAGAACATGATGATGGCTTTCTGCGGCTCCCCCTTCGATTTTCTTCATGGTTTTGATTCGAAACATCCCGCGCGATCGAGACAACTCGTTCATGTCGATATTATTGATCTTGCTCTCCCTGCTGGACTGCGGGTGGCGCCGTAGGCTGCGGCGGCGACTAGGATGTGCAAGTGGGGCGGACCTCGCGCGAGCATCTCCCCCCTGGCGGTGCGCTTGGACTCGTCCCCTCCCTCCTTCGTGCGCTCCATGAGGGCCTTCGAATCGTCGTCGTATGTCTTCCCCGCCTTGAGGCAGGCCGCAACGAGACCGCTGCCCATCAGGATCCCGACTTTGATGAAGACGCATGCCGCCATGGCGGCGATCTCCCGACTGTTGCTGAGCACGAGGCGGGCCATTGTATTTACGAGCATGCGGGGTGCTTTGTCTCCCTGGGACGACTGCTTGAAATGCTTGGGCTTCGTTCGGCTTGGGCCTGATCGACTGCGGCGGCCCCCCCCTCGGCCTCCTCCTTCCGTTTCGGCATCTTGGACCACGAGGGGAAGCTCAACTCCTCCATCAGCTCTGAGGGGGATCCTCACGGAGGACGGGGCGAACGGGGCGATCTCAATGGGCAGGTGGCTGCAGAGATGGTCACACAAGTCTGAAAGACCGGAGCCCTTATAATCACAGCCCGTACGGACATGTAAACGAGGGTGGAATATCAGCACCAGTTGTCATAGTAGCTGGCCCACGGGCAATACAATGCCCCCGAGAAATACACCCCTGAAGATGCCGTCCCGCGTTGGAGGTACTTGCAAACACCTGTCTGCTGTGAATACATATGTTGCTGACTGTGAGTGTATGTGCAAGTTTTGTGACGTGGTGAACTTGACGAAGGTGATCCATGTAGCCCCGTCGGTTGGAAAATCCCACTTTACACCTCTGGCCTTCAACCTCGAGCTCACACACGAACATGGGGTCAGTGGCGTGCTCGACGCTCCCATCCACGACCACTGCTGTCGAATCGTGAGCTGTGAGCTCGGATGAGCCACCGTCGCCGCGGCACTGCTGACCGCGTCCTCGACCTTCCAGCCCTTGAGGCGCTGCCTGAGCTCCGGCACGGGCGTGCGCCGGTCGAACTCGATCTGGCGGTCCCGACACAGCTGCTGGAGCTCCTCCTTGTTCTTCTTGCCGAGCCCCGGGACGTAGTCGCCCTGCGGCGTGCTCTCGCGGCCCTCGGCCCTCAGCGCACGCAAGATCACCCGGAGCTGGTCGCGCGTGGCGTCGCGCACATCCAAGTCGTAGCTTGCAACCTCGGCCTGCAGCTCCGGCATCCGCATACTGGATATCGCCGGAAGACGGGCAGTACTCGTCGTCGGCAAATTCTGTTTGCTGCCCGCCGGGCTTGTCTCCTTGGGAGATGTCGTACATCGCTGGTGCGGCGGGGGCATAGGCGCCGCCCGCTGGTTCGTAGAAAGCTGCGGTGGCTGGATCTGCCACGGCACGCGTCGTACTCGCTGGTGGAGCCACAGTTGAACTCGAGCTGGATGGCTGCGGTGATGATGTAGTTTGATGACTGCGTGCTGAAGGCTGATCTCGTGGCTCGCCACGGCTTGCTTGCTGCTGAAATCGAACATGCCGTGACGGAATATCGCTGCGAGGTTTAACTCCTCGTTCGTCATGATCGTGGTTTGTCTGCATAATCTGTGCTGTGCTGACTGACCTAGTACACACTCCCCAGGCCTCGTCTTCCGATCCCGATGACGATTGACGCGATGGAATGTATGCGCTCATGGCCTGGCGCACCTGCTGCTCGAACAGTTCGGCGCTATCGAGCGCGTTGCAGTCAGTATCCGACTGAGACTCGTCTCATGCAGATCCACATGGGGGTGGCGTCGACGGGGGGGGCGAAAGTTGAGCGCGCCGTCCGGCGCGAGATGATCTTTATCTTCCTCGGAGGGTGCCCATTGCGCGCGAGTTTTTCACCGTCGCGGTGCCCATGTTGCAGTTTGGTGATTGGGCGGGCTTCGTGACGGCCGGCTTCGTGCTCGGGCGAAGCGAACAGGTTTGGGGCGCGCGCGCATTAGCGTTCAGGAACGGTCGTCTGGCATGGCCCTTGTCCTCGCGCGAAGTGATGCGCCATTAAAGTCGCGCTCTCGAATGATCCTTAGAATTGGCAGTGGATTGCATGGCTCATTTCCGAGGAGTCGCGCAGCGCGCCTAAATCTTGAAGGGTGCCACCTTCTTCAGCCACTACTGGAGGGCGCGGGGCCACGTCGCGCCGGGGCCCCGGATTTCTTGATCCCAGGTCAAGGCCCATCGCACTCTAGACGACGCGTTCTCTGAGCAAGGCCGCGTCTGAATCCTCGTAGCTAGAACGGCACACGATGCAATGAGACAACATCGCGGGGGCGCATGGTTTGACCCTGCTGCTCGTTTAGACACCGCCCCCGCTATCTTCATGTTTCTGGTGTTCGCGACTGGTGCGGGACGGGCGCATGCTAGCGGGCCCTTTCGCGAGAGTACTTTGGCCCCCTGTCCGAGGCCCCTCGCACGCCCCTCCCCGCCCCGTTGCCCCCCCCAAGCCCCTACCTGGGCAGGCCAGGGTCATCGCTGCACCTCGCGTTCAAAGCGCATCGCCTCTCACTGCTGTCGTCGCTGCCCAGGGGGCGGGGGGAGGCAGGAGGAGTGAGGAGGAGGGAGGAGGAGGGGAGCGGGGGGGAGGAGGGAGGGGGAGGAAGGATGGGGGGCGAGGAGGAAGGAGTGGACAGCGGGGGAGGGAAGAGGAGGAGGGAATAGAAGCGAGGATGGCGTCCGGGTGCCACTGCGCGGCCGCGGTCCCGTGAGGATCCCCGATGCGGTTTGCCATCGAACACGCTCAGCTGCCTTCGCCAAGTCAGGCTACGCGGTCTCAATTGTCCTGAACCAGACGGCACTAGTTGTCTCAATTTGTCTCAAAGTTTCTCACCAAGCGAACCTTTTTGTCTCAATTTCTCTCAATTTGGGTCGTCCCCGGGATATTATATCTCAATTTCTTTCAATTTCTCTCAATTCCT